GACTATATATAGGAGAAGGTTGACTGGTCTGATCAAGCCTTCCTCAACTTATATTGGAGCACAGAGTAGAAGGGGCTGGGGCTTAAGAAGGGTTAATTGGCAACATCAAATAAACCTGCAGACAAACATGTGGTGACTGTGTGATTGTGTTTGACAACTTAGTACTAAATTACCATGAGAATCTCAAATCATACTAAAGTTACAATTAGTTAAGACTTGATCTGCAGATGCTCTGGGTATCCAGTACCAGCTCTATAAAGCTGATTTAGTCTTTCCTTGGAAGCGTTTGACTCTGAAAGGTGAAAGGTCACAGGAGGGCACTTCTCCCAGGCTGAGTTCACACAGAAGCTTGCCAATGATTGGTCCAAACTTAAAGCCGTGACCTAGGGAAGAGAAGGCATAACTGAGCAAAGAACGTACATAGGTCATGAAACCGTGTCAGATGCATCAGTGTCCTAATGTGAGCAAATCCATGCCCCCGCACCTTGTCGGAGCCTATAAATAGCCTGCATCTCCGGGCCTTTGTCTGAGTCAGGCGATGGGTTTGAGCCCCACATGAGTTAATACATGAAAGAAGAGAAAAGCTGTTGTGATGCCTGTCGCTGAGCATCTATTCACTTGAGTGATCCGGGACCAAATGCTAAATTAAGAGAGATTTGTCCTTTCTCTGCGTAATGGCTTCATGTGCTCAGGGAGTGAGATGAGAGAGCATCTATTTTCAAAATGTAGCATCCTTGTTGCTAAGGTCTGAGAGGCAAATTGTGAATGTCAACAGGGCTTGAGGAATGCAACACATTGCCATCTGACAAAGGTCTCCGAGCTCCCGTGGATTCTGCCAGCTTTGAAGTCATAAAAGCTTGGCTCTGACAGTTTGGCCACGTGGATTTTCATCTTGCCAGAGGAGGAGAATGGAAAACCTCAATAGATGGCCAAGCCCACAGGGTGACTTTGTAGCCATGGCAACCCCCCAGTACTTGCTTTAAAGCACTTGTGTTGGGCTTTGATGACAAATGCACGTAGTGAAGGAGGGGGAGGAAGGCAACACATTTTATTTTCTGTAGTAGGGAGAAGCACTGTGAACTTCTCCAATATGGCTCTGAGCTTCTTTAGTGCTGCTGCAGAAAGATCACAAACTGTGCAGATAATAAGTAACACTGACTAACTAAGTTGTTCTCTGGAGATTTGAGTCTAATGCAACATTGTGAGACTTATCATAATTCCCATTTTCAGACTTGAATTACATTCATGGCGTCATCCAAGCATAATGCCATTACCCTACATTGTAAATGACAATACAATAACCTTGAATAATTACAACAACTACATATCTGAGTGTGTAAGATTAACAACTAACTTGAATACCGCTTGACTTTCAAGTGTGTAGGAGAACATACGATGGTCGCAAAAGGTGAAATTCTCTAGAGCCAGTGTTTGGTTTGTCTGTTCTGGGCTACTGTAAAAACATGGCGGTTCATTCATCATATGATGGACACCATGGAAGAGAACCTGCTCCCTGCATTCTTTCTAATGGCCAGCAGGGGGCAGCTCCATTAGCTGCAAAAAGAAGCCCTGTGACATTTAATGCAAGGGCAAATTGACCCTGCATTATTTGGTTGCTGTATGAGTTCAGTAAACAGTTTCCTAATGCATTTATGGTCTCTAGTTTCATTCTTCTTCCATACAGATTTTTTTACTAATTTAGTAAATGATGGTCCCATTTAGAGTAAAATAGACAATAAAGCAGGGTAGCTGGCATTTTTTCTATAGAAGAGTCAAAACTAAGCGCAGCCAATGAGCCGTAATGCTGAACTTAAGACTTCAACACGGTACTCCACAAAGCAATGGATGACATCACAATAGGTTAACACTTGGTCAAGATCTGGCGGACCATCTTTACTAAATAATTTCCAGGTGGAAATGAAAAATGATGTGGCTTCTATATCTCAAACTTCTAGTCAAAATTGCCGTGAAGTTCACAGAGGTTTTCCTTTTTTGATTGTCAAAAATGGAAAAAGTTAATTCTCCTGTGCCACCCATCTTTCACAACAAATGCAATAGTGAGGTATAGCATAACACAAGAGCAAAATATACTGGCAGAAAATTGGGGTAGTGCATGCTACTAAGGCTATAGAGCTGCTGCACCCTCCACTGAACAAAATGCCCTTACTCTGCACAATGTTGCACTTGTGCATTTGGTGTGAAAGCAGGGTCACACAAGCATTTTTAGCTTTACGCCTCGTAAGGCTCTAAGAATAGCAAAAATCATTAGTATATAATTCATTTGTCCAACATTTTTAGACTTTTAGTCCATTCATCTCAGCAAGCTGCACTGAAAGCAGAGCATTGTGTCCAGGATATTAATTACAGATATAATTAGGTAAAGGACATGACTGCATGACGAGATGGAAAAGTGCCAAGAGACACTGAAGGTAACCGTAGGAGAGGAGAGGTGGAGCAGAGTCGGCCTTCTGGGTGCCTCCGCCGTGTTAATTAGAGAAGAACATGAGTGTAGACCCAAAGCACAGGCGCTTTCACCTTTCACAATGGACAAGAACATCTCATTAAAAGTTAAGGATCTATAACCCGAGAATACGTGGAAGGTTTGGTGTGTCCAGTTAGACGCTGTGCATATTCTGCTGCTATGAACACTGCAAGCACACAAGGATATCCTCTTCTGCACGTTTTCACTTGCATTTTTTTTTATTTCAGCCGTAAACCATAGATACAAGACAAAATAAACAAAAACAAAAAAAACACTAGATACCAGTTAGTTAGTTAGTTAGTTAGTTAGCGGAAGCAGTCTACAGCCTGAGTCCGACCCGAGCCTCACTCATTAATTTGCATTTGAGGTGCATTAATTATAACCTTAATTTTATATATAATATAAAAACAATCATTCTGTACGAGCCCGACCCGCTGCAGTAGTTTTGGGCCAGAGTGCAACCCAAACACAAATTTTTACTTAAAAAAATACATTAAATAGTTTATTATAAGTACAGTAAAGTAAACTACATTGTGCATATAATATAGTGCAAATTATTAATAATTCATTCCAGGCCCATGAATTGTTAATTAAATATTACATATATTTAAAAAGATAAATGTATTCTGTCTGTGCCTGACCCAAGCCCGTGTTTGGGTTTCGGGAGTGAATGAAAGCTCTACTGTGAATCCAGTACAGAGATCAGGACACTTTTGGGTCCTGTACTATGAAGCAGGACTTGGGGTTAGCGAAGTAATGTCAGCATTAACCCTGGGTCCTCAGTCCTACGACGGTGGTTCACCTTCTTACTGAGGTACATCGCCACGGTAACGGAGCAGGTTATTTTTGAGAGAAGAGATCAACTCTATAAAAGCATCACCTACTGACCAATCAATTGTATTGGAAAATGATGTCACCATTGATAGAAGATCCTGTGGATGTATTAATTATTGATCCTGTGGAGAGAGTAGGTCATGAGAGGGTCTTTTAGGAGGGAAAGAGTGTTCAGAGACTGGCAGAGCCCTTTGGCTTTCCTTAATGATGCTTTACAGTTGCAATCAGAAATATTCAACCCCCTCACCTCAAAAGACATTATAGTGATGTGGACAAACGTTTTCGGTAAGTGCTGACAAGATTCTTACAACTCTCAATCGGAATCTTCGCCCATTCTTCATATGCAAAAGCCTTTAGCTCAATGATGTTTGATGGCTTCCATGCTGCAACTGCCTTCTTTAAATCCCACCAAAGATTTTCAATCGGATTTAAATCTGGTGACTGAGAAGGCCACTCCAGGACGTTCCAGGATCTTTTTCTCAACCAAGCTTTGGTTGACTTGGAGGTGTGCTTTGGATCATTGTCTTGCTGGAAAGACGATGCTGCTCCACTGATCACCAAGGTTTAATTTGTCAACAGAATGCATCACGTTCCTCTTTAAAATGGCCTGGTATTTCTGGGAATCCATGATGCCAGGTACACGATTAAGATTGCCAGTTCCTGCCGCAGAAAAACAGCCCCACATCATAAATGACCCTCGTCCATGCTTGAGGGTTGGGATGGTATTCTTCTGGTTATAAGCCTGGCCTTTCGCACGCCAGACATACCGCTGGTCCATATGTTCAAACAGTTCCAGTTTGGTTTTATCAGTCCATAGAACTGTCTACAACTCTTTTGATGTTCCTTGTGGTCAAGAGTGGAGTGTGTCCATAAAGTCCTTGTTTATTCAGTGCACGTCTTCATCAGGTCATCCTGTAGGTGTAGGTGTCTTGCAGTCACACGGGGGTTTCTCTTAGTTGTTCTGACTAAGTTGCTAAGGGTTATAGTAATACGTTTTAAACACAGACAATGGTGTCTCTTGGAATATTACATTTTTTGGAAATCTTCATATACCCAAGGCCCTTCAGGTGTGATGAAATAATCTCCTCTCTCAGCTTTTGTTTAAGGCTCCTCTGTCTTTCCCATGATTGCAACTCATCTTCAATACCTTCATGGGTGGGGTTTATACATACATCACAGCTGAAGCAAATGAAGGATCATTATAGAGTTCCCAAAGGCTTAATTATGTTTCAACTTCACTTTAGGCCATAAAAACTGTCACACAGCTTTAAAAACAGCAAAATTATATAGGGGGTTGAATAATTGTGACATGGCTATCTTAACAAAATATACTGTTACACACAAATACTACATAATGCATTTTCTGTGTTGATTTTAT